GTGCCGGGTAGAGAGCTGAGTTTCAGATTCAGGGACCTCATCAACTTTTGTTCAGTTTGTGAGGTGAGTTTTCCTCACTGTACTTCTGGGTCGAAGGCACCAAGGCCGGCCCATTGGATTGTTATCTTGGTTTATCACATGTTGGTAGGCTGTAGTGATCTGTTAGATCTGTATCCTGGTGGATAGGATGATGCTATGCTTAGTGATCTGTAAGATCTTTCTCATTGTCTTTTGGCTGATTATATGTATGCTTATCTGTTATGTATATGTCGACATGGTTTATGTGTGGTTGGGTGAAGCGTACCAGTGTAGACTGAAGGTCAAGAGACCCAAGGCGTCCCGGATAGACTGCAGGCCCGAGAGGCGTACCAGTCAAGCCGAAGGCCCGGAGAACGTTCCAGATAGGCTGAAGGCCCGGTGAGGCATACCAGTCATGATGAAGGTTCTATGAGCGTACCAGATAGATTGTAGGCCAGTGGGGCGTTCCATTCAGACTGAAGGCTCTGTGTGCATGTTGTTGTTATTGTATATGTTATTTGTTGTGTTGGTATTTTGGGGGAACTCACTAAGTGTTGACTTACAGTTTTGGGTTATGTTTCAGGTATTTCAGAGGACCGCGGGAAGGCGAATGCGTGACCGTACACATCCTCATGTTTTGGGACTATAATTTTGGAAACTCTGATGTTAAAATGCTTTTGAAACTATGTTTGTAAGCAATTTGTGAAATTGGATGGTTTTAAAAAGTTTAAAATTTTCATGATTTTTATGAATGTTACAATTTAATAAATGAACGAACTTGAACACAAATTCTTGTTCGTTTAGTTAAATATACGAACATGAACAATGGTCTTGTTCGTTCAATTATGTTCGTGAACGTTTGTTTATGTTTGTTCATTTAAGTTTGCCTTATATTCATATATGCTCAATTATGTTTGATTACATTACTATATTATATGTTTGTTTATGTTCATATATGTTTGTTTATCTCTGCTCGTTTATGTTTGTTTGTTTAAGTTCATTTAGCATGTTCACGAACATAAAGAAATAAACATGAACAATGTAATTTGTTAAACGAACGAACATGAACAATAAAACTCGTTGGGTTATATGTTCGTGATCATTTGTTTGTTCGGCTAACTTAAACAAATGGACATGAACAACCTTCATTCGTGTTCGTTCGGTTCATTTACAACCCTATCTATATGTCCTTAAGTAAGACCAACATGCATGGTACCATCGTTTTTCTATTTTGATCACCTCTCCTCGGTTTTGGAGCAGTCGTTTCGATTCTTCGCTTTTCACGTATCACCGAGGGTCCAATCATATTTACCTCCGCCTAAATGTTGACGATTTTATTCTCACAACATCTTCCTCCTCTCTAATCACTCAGGTTATCACTCGTCTGTCTTATGAGTTTCCAGTGACGTATTGAGGACCTCTTTCTTTCTTTCTTTCTTTCTTTACGTTGTTGCTTTGCAAAATGACACAAGACTTTTCTTATCCCAAACTGCCTTTGTTTGAGAAATTTTATCGTATGCCGACATGTTTTTGTGCAATTTGTGCAGCACTCCGATGGAAACCAAGCTCAAGCTTTCTCCCGAGGGATTCCTAGTGGTAGATCCCACTCTCTACCGAAGCCTTGCAGGTGCTCTGCAATATCTCACTATTACTCGTCCTAATATTGCTTATGCGGTTCAGCAGATCTGCCTTTTAATGCATGATCCGAGCGAACCGTATTTCCTTGCCCTCAAGCACATTCTTCATTATTCTTAAGGTACACTTCACATGGTCTTCTCATATATTCGTCATTTGTTGATCGATTGGTCACCTATTCTGATGTTGGTTAGGCCGACTGTCCTCAAACTCACCAATCTACTTCTAGGTTCTTTGTCTATCTTGGTGATAATCTCGTGTTTTAGTCCTCCAAGCGACAACACGTTGTTTCTCGCTCCTCTGTTGAAGCTGAGCATTGGGAGTAGCGAACGTCGTCACTGAAGCTGTCTGACTTCATAATCTTCTTCTTGAGTTATCCTCTCCATTGTCTAGAGTGACAATTATGTTTTGCGACAATGTTAGTGCCATGTATTTAACATCTAACCCGGTTCAAAACCAAGCATGTGGAAATAGATATACATTTTATAAGGGAAAGTGTTGCCATCAGACATCTGTGTGTTTTGCATGTTCCTTTGACCTATCAGTTTGTGGATATTTTTACAAATATACTTCTTACTCAGTTATTTTTGGATTTTTGTCACAGTTTAAACATTAGTAATATGCTCAAATTGAGGGGGTGTGTTAATTTATATATATTATTGTATAGTATAGGGTTCACTTTTTAACTTTCTATATCATATGTATACTGAAATATACTACCGCAATCCTTACGGGGTTTTCCACAATTCAACACATGTGATCGCCCGTATCAAAATTGGAGCTACAAGAAGCACAACCAATGCTCTCCAAATAGAAACCCATTTTGGACAAATTTAGACGAGTTAGCAACCTGTCTAACATAGTTCTTCACAAGAAAACATTAAGGCGATGTTTGTTTTTTCTGAGGCAAAATGTCTGCAGTCTGCAGACCACATCTGCAAACCTCTGCAGTAGAAGAGACGGATCAAACGTTTGCAGTATGAATGAAGAAAACTGTTTGTTTTTTTAATATCTACATGCTGCTAAAATAAACTAAAATCTAATTAAATTGATTTTTTTTTTAAAAAAAACTTAAAAACGTTTTTCAATAATTTTATGACTTTATTATAGATAATTAACAAATGTAGATCACCTATTATGTATTATTATAGAAAAAATAAAAATAAAATGGTACAAATTAACGTATATATCTGATAAAAACCAACAAAATTTGGTTGTAAAATTGTACTTAAACATTGTAATTAGGGATAAAAGAATTTAATACATAAAATATATGAAAATAAATTTGATTTCAAATGAAAGTTTTGAAAATTTTCATTTTACTTTTTTGATTAAATCAGTTATTATTTTTCATATCTATATAAACAACCCTAATGACCAGTATTGTAATTAAATCTTTATTTATAAATTTTTCACAAAGATAATGATTGTATTGTCGAACCTTTTTTCTTTAAATATTGTAACTTTTTTTATTAAAAAATGTTTATCATAGATAAAGTTGGAATAAATCTAAGATTAAAAAAAAAATAAAGATATATGTGTTTTTTTAGGCTAGAAGATGTCTGAAGATGTTTAAAGACTCTGGTCCACATCTATGCCAAGAAGAGGACGCACATACCTTTTTTAGGTCTGTACTATTCAAAAAAATAAACAGTCTGCAAAACCTAATGTCTGCACGACACAATAGAAAAGGCTAAGAAGATCTGCGGACAAAAAACAAACAACACTTAGGGTGTGTTTGGTTGTGGAAAACTGTTTTCATTTTCTAAGAAAATGTTTTCAGAAAATAGAGTTGAGTTTTCGCTTTCAATTTTCAATGAAAGTTTTAGAAGACGCGTTTGGTTGAAACCGGGGGAGTTTTCATTTTCCATATTAGAAATTTGGAAAACTTTGAAAAACTGTAAAAATCATTTTTCTAACTTACATACAATTTGGAAAACTGAAAATTTTCATTTTCTTGGAAAATTTTGGAAAACTGAACGAACCAAACGCGTTTTCAAAATTTCCGTTTTTCTTGAAATTTTTTTCTAGAAAACTGGAAAATTTTCCACAACCAAACGCACCCTTAACTTTCTTTGGAACTTCCTTATATCATCTAGGTTTATTTATTTATTTTTATCATATATAAGCAACTATGTTCCTATCATGCATTTGATCAATAACACTATTCTAGACCAAACTCCTCTGCCTTTGCATATATCAATAATCCCTCCACTAACACCATTGTCCATCTTCACAACACGCGTCCAAAGATCGCCCCGTTACTAATAAATCTCCAACGGCATTTCAAAAGCAAGGCTCGATTGAACCCTGCCAAAGAACCCACCCCCAAACATCCTTTATCAAAATCAGGCAATACTTTATCCCATCGGATCCACAACATTCTTTTTTTTACCCAAATCGGCTTCTCAAAAGAAATTAGACCCCAACCGTATTGAGGAGCTTTAAAAAGGACATGTAGTATATTCCAAGTACGGGTCGATAAAATATTAAATTACATTATGTATGCATTAACACACCACACACATTCTTTTCAATAACATTTCATTCACAGCATGCAATTCATAAATATTTCATAAGATACTTTACAAATCAGACATATCATTTTATTCATGCACTGAAAATGCAAAAGAAAAAAAAAACCTAATAGCAATCTATTTGAAGACGCAAGCAATTAGCTAAATAGATTGATAAGAACCCTAGTTAATCTGAAATCCAAGATCCAAGACTATCATTGATCTATGCTTTAGTTTTTTAGGTTTGAACAACAACAATATTTAACCTCTACGTATAATTTATTTTAATATATGAAATTAATTTCTTTAAAAAAAATATACTCCATAAAAAGAATTAATCGTGGACTAGGATTGCCACATGGACGTTACACGAATAATATATGTCAACTAAGCATCCAAATTTGTGAAACATGCAATAATAATGATATATTTTAAATAATATAAATCAATTATATATGTATTTAGAATTCAATATTCTGTTCTATCTCCTTCAATTGTTGAAGCTTTTGTTTTTAGTGGGTTTTGTTTTTGTTTTTTTCCGATTAAAAAACAGTTAATTAAAGCAAACACGAAGCAGCTGCATCGCCACCTTGCTAACAAAACAACAAAACAGGCTACGTTCATGACGATTGCATTCGAAACTCAAAAGATTTCTGGTCTCAACACCCCACTAATCACTCATCACTCATCACTCACCACTCACCTGCTTCGACTTCATTTCTTAGCCAACAAGTTTCCTCTCAAATATCTATAACACAAATCCACGCCATATCTGTCATATTAACTTCACTTATCTTCTGCGAACATTATCGTCTCTCAAAAGTTCAAGCCATGAGGAAAAACAGGAAACAGAGCATTGTGAAAGATGGGTACGAACCCTCCATGAGGAAAAACAGGAAACAGAGCATTGTGAAAGATGGGTACGAACCCTCTGCAGACGAAGACGAAGATAGTTATGAGAAATCGGACACTGAAAGAGCGGTTCCGGTGGAGATTTTTCGTCGGAGAAACAGGGGAAAACGCCGATTGAAGAAAAATGGTTGTAACTCACAGGATCCGTTGGTTGTATGTGGTGGCGATATCATGTTGATGATATTGAGCTTTCTCGACGCACACAGTGTGGCTTCATCACTTGTTGTTTCTCGTAGATGGCGCAGAGTTGCTTCCAGTGATACCGTTTGGTCTGAAAAGGTCGACACACTTAATTATTCCAACTTACTTCTACTTTCTTGTTTTTTGTTTCTTAAAATACTGCATTTGTTAACTTTTTTGACCAAATGATAAGTTTAGTGTGTTTGATATTGTTTACGTAAGAGCCCCATAAATTGTGGTAATCATCAAGATTTTCTTTTTCGGAAGTGTTGTTGCTGTGAATAATGTTTGTACTACTTGGTATAATTAAGATTCTTGTGTGTATCCTTCCCTTGTTGGTAATTACTAATTAGTAGCTTGTTTTTGGTTAGTAAGTTATGAAGAGCAAAGTAATGGCAAGTTTATAACAAAACTATGGAGGGTATATTCGGAAACTGCAAAGTAGTATGTAGGACATGATTGTTACATGGATAAAGATGACCCTTTTGCACTGTTTTAATTTAAAGATCATTGGTTTTGAATCTTTTTATTATTGACATGCATATTGGATCTCATATAAATTGTTTGAATCATGTCACAGAATAGTCATCATCGGTAGGATCATCGGTTTACGTAAAAGACCTAATTACCCTCTACCTTGCTTATAGATTAAAGAGCTATGGGCTGATAAAGCTCATCTACCTCGTTTTGCTCTAGTTGAGGGGTTGTCAAAGTTGTCTGCTTACACCTTATCCATTCATGATGGCAAACGGGTAAGACTCTTTAAAGAGGCGAGAATAAGTGAGGTCTCATCTACCTCGTTTTATTTTATTTTATTTTTAAATATTATATTAACAACATTTGTTCTCTCTTTGCTTATGTTTTTTTATTAGAGTCGGATCGTGAAGGAAGATCTTTGGGATCATGCTTGGGAGTTTCGCTTTAAAGAGGCATCTTCTTTTTAAATCTTGTATTGCATTATTAAAGGGCTAAATGCAAGAAATAACAATATATTTTTATTTATTTGTTAATTATAACATTTTTTTTTCTTATAGAGGCGTAGTACTAGTATGTCGAAATATCTACACAATAATACCATTCTACTTCCAATTTTTTTTTTTATATTAAGGCATTGTACTTTGAACAATCTATTCAACTATAGCAATGAAAATTGATTTATAAATTATAATTGGATATTGTTATAATTTGCTATATTTTTCAAAGTACAATGCTATAAGAAAAAGAAATGCAAGTAGGATGCTATAATAAAGAGCTAAAAGCAAGAAATAGCATCATACTTCCTTTTCATACGTTCATTTCTTTCTATTGTAGTTTCGTTTTCTCTTATTAAGTCGTTGTACATTGAAAACTCTACCAAATTATATCGTTGTACCTCCAACTTTTTTTTTCTTATTATTAAGACTTGTATTTTGAAAAATCTACCAAATTATATTGATGACATAGTCCACTGATACTGTTATAATTTGCTAAGACTTCTCAAAGTACATGAAGAAAATTAAATTTGGTGGTATAATAAACAAATAGACAAAAGTAGTTTATAACTTTTTGCATTTAATCCTTATTATGTAATCATGCACTATCTTGTTCATGGGATTTTGATATCTTAGAGCATCTCTTTGTAAAGACTTACGGTATTTCCCAACTTTACTTTTCACTAACAAAAAGTTTTCAAAATGACGTATTCAAAATGTAAAAAACTTTTCAAAAAACTTGCATTGGATATGCTGTGCCTTGTGGAATCCTATTATGACCCCTAGATTCTTTCAATTTCAGAAACTCATAAGTTTTATATTTACATTAATTGCATTCAGGGTGCCCCAGAATACTGGCGTGATTTGGATCCATACTGGAGAGGAACAGGGCAACCAATGCATCGCTACTTCCATGAAGATGGAAGCCAAACTGCTGATGTTGATGATCAGGTATGGGGAGGCCATGAATGTTGTTACTCCATTGTTACGAGCTTCTTAGCAGATGGGAGAATTCGGGAACATTATGTAAGAATCAACAGTTGGGCACAATTGTCTATTTCAAGGAGGCTTGATTGGGGTTGGGAAATGTCAAATCGTTTATGTTTCTACTCGAGTGTTCCCGATGCTTATAAGCCAGGTGGCACCGGTCCCTATCTTCCTGTTCATTAATTAATTTATGTTTTTTGTTTTGTTTACCAAGTTTGTTTGGTGATAGATTTTAAAGTATTTTTAGACTAGATTTGCTAGTGTTTGCTATATGTGTCTATTTGGTTTGTGGAAATTGCAATGATTTTGTTTTTTTGGAAGGTTCCAAGTTGAAAGTTACATATTTACCTATTACCGTTGATCTAGAAGATGTATTTTTTGATCTTTATTGATGGTTGTTTTAGGCATTTGAGATGTATTTGTTGATCTTTATTGATGGGTGTTTTAGGTATTTAAGTAACATAAATATTTTATTTGTAGTGTGTGCATGGTAGAGGGTGCAATAATAAATAATTAGGCCTGACAATCGGGTTGGGTTTGGGTTGGCGGTTCAAAAATATAAACTCAACCCAACCCATATAATATATGGGTTGGCGGGTCATGGGTTGGTGGGTTGGAAACCTCAACCCAACCCAACCCATATAACTCGTTTAAGTATATATGGGTTTGCAGGTTCACAAGTTAGTAGGTCGAACCCAACCCACATAACCCTTTAACGAATACACAACGAATTTTAAAAAATGAGGTTTTTTCAACATAAATTCATAAAATGATTAAAGTAATTACATCAAAAAAAGAGGTTTTCCACCAAAATTAATAAAGTCGTTAACATCCAAATAAAATTGAAAAATAAAAACATTCCTTCAAAGTGGATGCGTTCTTCGTTCATGACTTGCGAGTATCTAAAAATGATGACATGTGTTTTTTCTTTTTTGATTAGGGCACCGCAAACACAGACTAGCAACATACGAATACGAAAGAAATACAATGATATGAAATATTACGAATACAGAAGGAAATCAAATTTAATTAATAATTAAAGACAAAATTGCAAGAATGGTCCCTGTGGTATGTCAAAACTAGCAACTTTGGTCCAAAATGGGTTTGGCTTGCAAGGATGGTCCAATAGTTTCGTTTTGTTGCGATTTTAGTCCAATTTCCTATGAACTTTTTTATAATGACGGATTTGCCCTTTATTATTTTAGTTTCCATTTTTCTTTTATTACAACAATTAAAAATAAAACAAAAATAAAATATCTCTCTCTCTCTCTCTCCCTCTCTCTCTCTCTCTCACACACACACACACAACTCCCTCTCTTTTGATTCATCACCTTTCTTCCTTTCGTCCCTGTTTCACAAACAAAGAATGGAGCACCAGTGGTATGCCAACATCACCACCAACTTACCGGTGTTCGACCATATCCAGTCCGAGCCACCACAGTCGACAACGGGGGAAGGTAGTCGCCGACTGCCACCGTTAATCACTGCCTTTCCCGACTTTCTCCATCCACCCCTTTGAATCTGCAACGATGACGAGAGAAGGAGACATATGTGAGCTCGTCGACTGCCAGCCTTATTCCACCCGTCCCAGTCGCTCAACGCCACCTCTCACCACCGTACATGACCTGACCACCCTCGTTACCTCTCTCCAGTCATACTGCACCGCTAAGGAGGAAACCCAGCTCCTCCCGTCGCTCTGCCACCCAAATAGCTTGCTGCCACTGCTGTTTTTGTGAGTTCTGGCCACCAAATGCTGCCACTCCCTCCGACCACCAGCTTTCTTTCTCTTCATTCTCGCCGGCAGGAAAGAAAAACGGGAGGAAACAAGTGTAGTGATTTTATTCAGATCCAAAATCAATGGTGGGTTTTCGTTTCTCTTCGAATCGATGGTAGGTTTTCATTTCAGGTAAGGTTTTGTGTGTTGATTTTGTTTCAGATCTACCCTTCTTCATCTTCGTTTCAAATTTAGAACCAAGAACACACCTACCTTCAACTTTTGGATTTGGGTTTTATTTCAGATCCAAAATCAAGAACGAAGAACACCCATTGTGGATTTGGATTTGGGATGTTGGATGGTGGTGGGTCACGACAGGGGGAGGCGGAGGAGCTGCCACAGTCGACTGTGGTGTCTCTCTTCGTCGGAGAAGTGAGAAACGAGGGAGATAGACGAGTTGGAGATGAAAGGGAGGCCGAGGAGAGACAGAGAGATATTTTCTTTTTTTCTTTTTGTTTTTTTGATTTCTGTAATAAAAAAACTAAAAAAGAGAAAATACCAAGGGCAAATCAGTCATTACAAAAAGTTTTAAAATTTTTGGACTAAACTTGCAACAAAACGAAACTATTGGACCATCCTTGCGAGCCAAACCCATTTTGGACCAAAGTTGCTAGTTTTGACATACCACAGGGACCATTCTTGCAATTTTGTCATAATTAAATATATCAATTTTTTGAAATGTCATATATATATATATATATATATATATATATATATATATATATATATATATATATATATATATATATATATATATATATATATATATATATATATAACAGGTAACCCAACCCAACCCATGAAATAAATGGGTTGGCGGGTCAAAAATCTCAACCTAAACCCGTCTATTTTCGTGTTGGATAGTGTCGGGTTACGGATTGGATCGAGATTTGTCACATCTATAAATAATATGAAAGTATAATATTATAATAAGAAGAAATTAAATTACATTCCTAGCTCTTGCATTTAGCCATATGTTTAATTTCCAAATTAAAATATTGCTTATTGAAATGTTCAAATATAAACATTCTAAATAGAAGATAATGTCTATGTTCTTCTTTATTTTGTGGTTACTTTTTATGTAGGTACTAAACGAATATCTATGTGTTGCACTAGAATAAAGCTATATAGTTATATTTTTTTTTATAACGATACGTACATAAGAAAACAAGTTTTTTTTTTTTTTTTAAATTAAGAGAAATTCTCAGAAAAGTTTCAATATTTTGGTCAAGTTTATGAAAAAAATCATGAATTTTATTTTGTTAACAAAAATGTCCCGATTACCGAATAAAAAATTCAAATCAACCCATTTTTTACCGATAAACTATTTTTTACCCGATTACCTTCAGAAAAATATTATTATTTTGGCCCAGTTTATAAAAAGTCCCAATTTTTTTACTTCAACTCTTTTACTCTTTCACTATAAATCTGGAAAATTGTTGGTTCAAATTATGAATGAGAATAAACGTCATTAAATTCCATAACACTAAGGATAAAGTCATCTATAACCAATTGTTTGCCACATAACAATGAAGCTAACATCATTTTGAACTCATCATCGTCCATATAATCATTTCTCACACAAATTTATGTTACAAGTATTATAAGATATTCAAAATTGTGTTGAACATCTTAATATAATCTACCTAAAATTAGTTTAAAGGAAAACTAATTATTATGTTCATGTAAGAAATCATTGACCGATGACAAACCAATTGATACAATACTATGTGAGGTGAGGTTGTACGGATTCTAGAGAAGAGCATGTGTTTTATCCTTACATCATAACCATATATGAACAATTCATCCATAGATCAATTACTTTAAATGTCAATTTCGGACCTCCAAAACATCAAGACCCTATGAAACGTCATGTTTGTTCTTATGTGGATTCACTTCTATGATCACTTTTAGTTTGACACATGAATGTTTAAAATTGTAGAGGTTAATTTTGTGAGGTGTCGAATCGTTTAGATAGCTTCGTTAGTTTGTAAGTTTATTACAAGGGCATCTTAATGTACGGAGTCTAGTGTAATAGCCCCTTGTATTTTTTGTTCGCTTTCATCTTTCCTATAAATAGGGAAGTATACTAGAGTAGATAAGAACTTCGCTTTTTGCTCATTCGTGTAATCTTGTCTAAAACTCTCTGTACTCATTGAAAGCTAATTTGGGCCAAACAGATTATATTTACTTCTTATGTTCATCAATCATACTTTACTCTGATTTAGATATTCAATCTCGATTTAATTGCAACTACATTTTGTATCAGAGCAGGATTCATATAGATTTGATCCATTTTTCTGAATTTTCGCAAAAGTTTTAGGTCTCGTTCTACATTTTAATTTTCCGCTCTTTTGCATCAGAAATTCATTCTAGATCTACTGTTTTGAGTCGATTCTACGTTCTAGTTGCTAATTCGAGTGTTCGATTGGTGATTATCAAGAGTTTTATCTGTTTAATTTTGTTCAAATTCAATGTTTTCTCAAATTCTGTCCGTACGTTAATGGCGAACTTTAACATGAACACGATGACGTCCTATTCTCATCTGCTTGGTTCATCGACTAAAATTCCGATGCTGATACCCGAGTATTATGATCAGTGGGCTGATCGGATGGAAGACTGCTTGAATGGAATTGATGAAGAGTTATGGAAGTGTATTATCGGTGATGTTCATCCACCTCCTGCTGTTCAGAATATTAGAACTTCTTCCAATAATCAAAATGTTCAAGAGATTGCTGAAAAATTGGTGAAGAATGAGAAGAAATGCATGAGAGAACTCAAAGGTGCTCTACCTCCTGTTGTTTACAATTACGTTCGTAGTTGTAAAACTGCTAAAGACATGTGGAATACTTTGAAGGAGAAGTTTCAAGGGAATGAAAAGACAAAAATCAATTCATTGAAAAATTGTCTGGTTGAATTAAGAGAATTCAAACAAAAATATGGTGAATCTATCAAATTGTACTACAATCGTCTGAATGAGCTAATTTACAAGTGCAATCGATATGGAATCACCAGGTCAACTATGGAGTTCAATCTGACGTTTGTGAGTTGACTTCGCAAGGAATGGCGAAACGTGAGCTTAATGGTAAAGACTCAACAAAGTTGTGATAACTTTTCGTTGAATGACTTGTACAATCTATTAAAAACTCAAGAATCCGAAGTTCATGAAATTGCTGAAGAAACGAAGCTTCGTTTGGGAGGTCCGCTAGCTTTAGTTTTGAAAGTAACTAGAAGGGAAACAAAGAGAGAAGCTATTGAGAAGGAAGGTTTGGATGATGAGGGTCTGATTGTAAATTCCGATGATGAGGCTGTTGCATTTTACTCTAACAACCGAGTAAATAAATTCTTTAAGAAGCCATTCAATGCAAGGACAAAAAATAGTGAGGTGAAAGGAAGTGTTGTTGGGAAA